TTCCCCAGGATCCTTCTGTGAAGTGCTACCTTATTGAAGGTTCACAACTTCCCAATAGCGCTCAGGCTGCTATTGGCCTTTCAGAGACACTTGGGATCTAAAGCATAGTACCTGGACTCTAAAGTAAATGAAGACTGTTGAGCTAGAACTGACACTGAAGATTCTTCTTGGAATAAGTGTAGCTCACTACCAATGGGGCTAGTTCAGAATGCTGCTAGGTTTTGCATTTCAGCCACATCACTTGGTGGTTGGCTGATTGCAAATGAATTATTTATTCTAGCTTGCCCTTATAAAAAACAAGAAACCTAGTATTTTATTTACAAGCTGTAAGCCTAAATTGGGGAGATTCTGTGCTAGTCTCAGCTGTATTTGAACCATATGCCCCTTGTTACTTGCTGTTTGAGTGTCACCAGACTGCTGCTGCTCATCAGCCTGTCCTCAGGGTGCACTTCTCCTGGCCACAGGCGCGTGATCCAGCTGCCCTCATGGTGGCCTCCTCTGCTCTGTCTTCTCGTTTCCTTCTCCCCTGATTGGTCTCTTCCAAGACCTCTCTATCCTCAAGTCTCACCTTCCTCTTTCTACTGCCCAATCACAGGCTCTAGCCTTTTATTAGCCAATCAGGGATTATTGGGAAGCATTCTTTACAGTATATAGATTATAGTGCCCTAAGACCAGGTTGTAGTCTGGACCAGAACACAGAACTCGGCTTCTGAATATATAGTGCACAAGACTAACTCCAATAGCTGGTAGTGAATTAACTTAAATTTTGTTCCTTATAAGTACCAACAACTTACTGAATATTTTTCAACTAGACATTACAGAGTGTTGGTTTGGTAGAAAGTTGCAATAGAATTAGCCCACATTACTGTAGGCCACTGTAGTGAAGAGGGAACCAAGTGTTTATAACATTGCAGAGTTCCGGAAGAGGGATGTCAGGGCCTCTTTGCCCAGCTAAGAAAACACCCCAGATTAGGAAACTGCCAGTGTCACAAGTATTGTGTGGAATTTAGCTGATGTTGCCAGTGTGAAGGTCTACTATGGAAATTACCTACATTGATAGAAAAAGAAAAACAGTGGCTCTGCCTTCCAAAGTTTATGTGTACTTACCAGTTCCATAGTCTGCTCACAAGTGTCTGGAAATTCAAGTTTTGTGTGTGTGTGTTTTTAAATTTTGTTGCACCGTGTGTGTGTGTGTGTGTGTGTGTGTGTGTGTGTGTGTGTGTGTATCTTTTGCTCTAGCTGGTTTCTTAACGGATAAAAACATGCTGTCTTTCTGAAAGCTGGAGAAATGGTTTCTTCTGTAAGAGGGTATAGAGATACTCAAATATGTAGAAACACATGTATATATAAAGCAGTTGACAAGTGCCCAGTGTTGCTGCTATCATGATTATTTATCTTTCCACCCTATCATGTAACAATGTATAGACACCTCTGTTGGGACAGAATTGCACATGATACACATGAACAGTTGTTGGAAAGTCTCCTGTCTAAAAGTGGTAGCACCCATCTTTTCCCCGCGTATAAGGAAGGCCTGCATAGACATTGGATTAGGTAAGATCTGTTTGTTTTAAACAATGTAGTTTCTCAAAGGCCTTAAATAGACTAATAAAAGATATTTACTAACTAGTTAATAAGATGACCTCAGATTACTTTTGGTAGTATTTACAGTGATCCTTAGTTAACAAGACTGTCTATTTGAGTTTTTTCTCGTTTTTTGTTTGTTTGTTTGTTCTGAGACAAGGTTTCTCTGTGTAGCTCTAGCTCTGCTGGATCTCCCTCTGTAGTCTAGGCCCCCCTTGAACTCAAAGAGATCCAGCTGCCTCTGCCTCTCAAGTGCTGTGATTATTAAAGCTGTGTGCCACCATTGACTGGGAGCAAAGGAATCTCTTCACTGAGGAGAATGTCAAGCCTAACAGTCTAGCATGGAGTCTCAAGAAGGGACTGAGTCTTTCTGCTTGTGCTTGTGAGTGGTTTTAGGAAAAACACCCATGAATGATGTGTTCTTAAAAGGCTCTTTGGACTTGTCTTTGATTAGAGTCTTTCCCCATCCCTGAACAGGGATCCCTTCATAGTACATATTCAGTCTAACCATTTATCACCTATGCTTATGTACCTGTCTGCCATGCTGAGACCTTAGGGAGTGTAGAAATTGTGCTTATTTTCTTATCCCTCATGACCAGTTAGTGCCCGGAAAAACCTACTCTGTAAATGTTTGTTCAGTGACTGAGCATTATGACTGTGTCAGCCCTGACTAAAGTCCTTCCACACTGATTAGGCTAGGAGGTGGGAGAGGTAGGGAAACAGTGAGCTAGAACTAGAAATGAGTTTATTGTTAGAAGAGCGACACACTTTGTTCTTTAATGTATCCTGAAAGTTTGTCAAAGAATTCAACAAGAGGTCTTCGGATCCCATTACAGATCCCACCATGTGGTTGCTGGGAATTGAACTCAGGACCTCTGGAAGAGCAGCCCCATATTTGCCCTTTCTATAGCGCAGAAAATACTCATAAATGCTATGTGTATCTGGGCTGGTAAGATTGCTCAGTGCAGAAAGCACTTGTCATGCAAGCCTAGAGACCCATGTTGGATCCATTGAATCCATATTAAGGTGTTTGGAGAGAACCCACTCCAAGAAGCTATCTTCTGGCCTCCATAAATTCTGTGACACACATACTCACACATGTACATGTCTGCACATGCATGTATGCACACTAATAATAATAGAGATGAAATTTAACCAAAGAACCAAGATGATTAGTACTGAGGTTTCACTAGAACATGTTAGGAACAGGGGATGTGGCTCAGTTGATAAAGGGCTTACCTACCATTCACAGAGCCCTTAGTTCAGTCTCCACTACCACATGAACTGGGCATGCTGTAATCTCAGCACTCCTGAGATGGAGACAGCAGGATCAGAAGTTCAAGATCATCCTTGGCTACATGAGACTATGTCTCCAAAACAACAAAAAGAGTTGGTGCTGCTAGTTTATAGTTAGTCAGAGTGAGGGTGGAAGACTACTTATTTTTTTCCACCTTTGAGAATAAATAGAGATAGTAGGATGGAATTTTATAAGGGTCTGTTCTTCCTATTCAAAGAACCCTTTCAGGTCTGCTGAACTGTCTAAAGAGATGATATCTATAGAGATGCTTATGTCTTAGGTGTATCGGGTAATATTTAGAAAACGGTGCCCAGTCCAGGTTGTTTCTGGGCAGCCGCCATGTTCCCGCTGTTCCTTCAACTCTGCCGGGGGCTCCGGCTAGCTAGACGCGCAGACCCTGGCACCCAGGAGAAGCCAATGTGGTGGCTGGCTCTGCCTAAGGCTCTGCCTAACCACAGTAACTGGTAGAATAAAGACTTTTAATGCTGAAAGGTTATCCAATAGATTTATATATTTGGAAATGCTCAATTAACAAGATGCACTCACAATTAGAATTGTTGCCCAATTATCTAATCTAGATATTATAACTACCTCAGACTGCTAGAGACACGCGTATGTCCACAGCCATCTTCTCTCCTCCTCCACCTCCTTCTCGCTCCTCCCCTTCCTCACTCCGCCTATCTTTCATACTGCCCAATGACCGAGCCTTATTGCAAATGTAGCAGGAAAATATCTCGCTACACTTAGGCACTTTAGAGTCCTAGTCAATATGGTTACTTTAGAATTTTATATAGAGTCTTTTTAGTGTGAACAATATGGTTTCAAAATGTATGTATTTGTTACTTAACAGTTTAATGTAGTGTGACAAGCTCAGGCCTCATGACTACAAGCTAAGTGATGTGCCAGTTACAGTAAAGCATACTTCTACTTTCTTTCTGTTTGCATCACTCTCGGAGAGCTGAGAGTTGAAGTAGATCTCATGTTGATGAAGTGTGTTCCAGGAAGGTTTCGTATGACACTGGGAATAGTAATTTATATCCATTTTGGCTCTACTGTGACTTAACTTTTTACAGGTTAAAGTTTTAGTTCAGTCTTAGAGGAAAGGGAGACTAAATCTGTGAGCCAGGGAATTTATTTTTGAAATGTTCTTTTTTGTTTTGAGACAGGCTCACGGTTTAGCTCTATCTGGCCTATATAAAACATGGTGGCCCCAGACTCAGAGATTTCCCTGCCACAAATGATTACTACTGTTCTGGTTTTGTTTGTAAATATTGTTTTGAATTATGTGTATGTGTATGTTTATGTGTAGGTATATGTGTATCAGTGTAGAGGCTTGGATCCCCAGAAGTCTTGGAGTTACAGGTGGTTGTAGACTGCCTGATAATGTGTTCCGGGAATTAAACCTGGGTCCTGTGCAAGTGCTCTCACTGCGATGCTGTCTCTCTAGCCTGAATGTACTTAATTCCTATCTAGTATGGAAATCCAAGGTGGAAGACTTTTCTAACCTACATTTTAGTGTCTTGCTTTATTTTTTTTAATCATTTTTTTGGTGTCTGGGGGTGGTGTTTAATTTTGATCCTTGAGCACATGCAGAGGATAAAAACTCTAATTTTAGAAGTATTTTTCATCTTTACAACTGGGATTATAATTATTTTTCTGGCATCTTCCCCTACACTATTGGGGTGGGGGCTTGTGGGAGGGTAGTTTTTTCCAGATTGTTATGAAGGGAAACTATTTAACAGCAGAATTATATGACTGGATTTTATTTCTGAGTCTAACTTCAAGTTAAGTCTGTTAGTTCTATGTTTATGTGTTTTAATTATTTGCTATCATAAAATATAGGTCAAACATCTGAGCTAAGCAATCTTTACCTGATAAAAAAGACATCACATAGAATTAATATACATCTCCAGATGTTACTTTTGATATGTCAGTTAATTAAATATGATTGATTGACATAATTCCGAAATACTCCTGAGATATGTTGATATGTCAGTTAATTAAGTATGATTGATTAACATCTTTCTGAGGTATTCCTGAGGTATGAAGAGAAAAAAAAATTGTAAGACTTGTCTTTCAATCTGTCAGTTAAATTTATACTGTTTCACTATTTTGTTGGCAGGACTTTGTGTCCTTGTATCAGGATTTTGAAAACTTCTATACAAGGAACCTCTACATGAGAATCAGAGACAACTGGAACCGACCTATCTGTAGTGTGCCTGGAGCCAAGGTGGATATCATGGAGAGACAATCTCAGGATTATAACTGGTCATTCAAGTGAGTTGTGTTTGGAAATGGTTTCTTACCAACAAAAGAATTTGTTTTGAATATTCTCTCAAAGCAAAAACAACACCTGAAGATACAGTATGATTGGTTTCTAGGCAATACTGTTCAATACTGTTTCTGGAATATTTTTGGAGGGAGTGCTGGAGTTTAAAACCTCACATATCCTGGGCAATCATGGTACAGTTAGCTACACCCACAGGCCCCACTGAAGTTTAAAATAGTTTTCTGTTTCATTTGATTTTCTCTTTTGGTTTTTTGAGACAGGGTTTCTCTGTGTAGTCCTGGCTGGCCTGGAACTCACTCTGTAGACCAGTCAGGCCTTGAACAGTCATCTACCTGCCTCTGCCTCTTAAGTGCTGGGATTAAAGGTGTACACCACCATACTTGACGCTCATTTGATTCTTATTGGATTATAAATCCAATATCCTGGAGAACATAATTATACTATCTATTTATTTTTTTAATTTTAGACAGATTCTTATTATGTCACCTAAGCTGGCCTCAAATTTGCAATTCCCCTTCCTTATCCTCCTTAGGCATGGAGTTATAGGCCCAAGGATGACCGGTTCAGAAATCTGTTATCAACCAGGAGTCAGGACAAAAACTTCTCCCTCATACTATTTTTGGAAAGAAAAATCCAGTGTATTATATGAATTGATTGTTAGACATTTTAATTAAGATAAATGATTTAGGGGTAAATGGGGCTTTTTCTTTTTTAAAACTAGTGCTTTTCATAAATATACTGGATTAAAATGGTTTATATTCTTAACATTTTACTATTTAGATTACATGAATATAGTACAATTTTTTTTTGAGAGAGAAAATAATGTGAATACATGATTGTTCCCATAGACAGCTACCCTTGGGCCTTGTGCAAATCTAGTTCACAAAGCCATCACTCTGTAGAGGTGCCTATTGATTTCATTTTGTTTTTGTCATGTTCCTTTTGTCAAAGTTGTCCCTTAGGTATTTTGTGGAAAAGTGTGTGTTGTATATCTGTATACAGCAGGTAAGTTTTTGGTATATACATACGGAATCAAATGTTATAAATTATCTTTTTTGTTCTTTCTATTTGCTAACATACTTGTAACTTGTTGTCTATGTGTGTATTCACTACATGTTCATTATTTGTAGTGGCTAGTAGCATTCTACAGTATAGATGTGCCATCTGCAGTCATCTTGTACTAGTAAGTCCCAAATCCATGGCACTTAAACCTTCAGCACTCACTTCCTTACCTTTGGCTGATGGGAAACCATCGGTCATCTGGACTGTGGTGTCTGTGCTGACTGAGCTGCCATCATAGGAAATGTCACTGGTCTCTGGGCCTACAGAGGGCCATGGCAAAAGGGCAGTGCCTCTCAAAGAACCCTCATGTGTACATGCTCACACACAGAATTGCTGCATCAACATACATGTATCATTCAGTTACTAAGTAGTACCAAATTGCCCTTAAGAAGAAAATATTGAATGATAAGTATATAAGACTGTTCTAGGGCTGGAGAGATGGCTCAGCGACTAAGAACACTGGCTGCTCTTCCAGAGGTCCTAAGTTCAATTCCCAGCAACCACATGGTGGCTCACAACCATCTGTAATGGGATCTGATTCCCTCTTCTGGTATGTCTGAAGAGAGCAACAGTGTACTCACATAACATACAATAAATAAATATTTTTTAAAAGATGCTTTAAAGACTATTCTAAGACAACATTGGCTATCACACCTTAAAATTTTTTATCACTGTCAATAAAGTAATATGTGTTTGGTTTTTTTTGGGGGGGGGTTGTTTTGTTTTGTTTTTGAGACAGAATTTCTCTGTGTAGCCCTGGAACTCACTCTGTAGACCAGGCTGGCCTCGAACTCAGAAATCCACCTGCCTCTCCCTCCCAAGTGCTGTGCCACTGCTCGGGAATACATGTTTTTTAAAAGTAATTTTTATTCTTTGGCAATTTCATACTGTATGCACAACACACATTGGATTCTGTTGTACTCTTTTTCCCTTGTTACTGGTGAGTTTGTGCTGCTTTCCTTTTTTTCTTTTTTTTTTCTTTTGGTTTTTCGAGACAGGGTTTCTCTGTATATAGCCCTGGCTGTCCTGGAACTCACTCTGTAGACCAGGCTGGCCTCGAACTCAGAAATCCACCTGCCTCTGCCTCCCAAGTGCTGGGATTAAAGGTGTGCGCCACCACCACCCAGCTTGTGCTGCTTTTCTACAGATGCTGTTCACTTTACTTGTGTGTATAATGCTTCTTTTGTGTTATCAGTGTATATCACACTTAAGTATTAGGCGTGCTTGTTATCATTAAGTTTTATACTATTGAAACACAGGTACACGGGGAATATAATTAAAGGTGTAATAAACATGGGTTCCTACAACTATCTTGGATTTGCGAGGAACACTGGATCATGTCAGGAAGCAGCTGCCGAAGTTCTCAAGGAGTACGGAGCAGGAGTGTGCAGCACTCGTCAGGAAATTGGTAAGTGTGAGCTTAGGAGTGAATAATACAGATACAGTGTCAGAATAATAAATACACAAACACTTAACCTTTTACTTTAGGTCAGGTCGAGCAGACACTGTCTTTTATATTTTGAGATGGTTTCCAATGTGTTACATGTGCATAGTGTCCATAGCAAAGTTTTGTATTTGTTTCTTTGTGGGATTTTATTGACTTGTAAATCTTAGGAGTGCCACTTTTTACATGGGTACTATCAGCTAAACGCTAATGGGCTTTTATACTGGCAAGCTAGGTCTGATAATCCTGTAGATATATTTTAATAATTAAATAGTTCAATTTGCTAATTCATGTAAGCCATTTGAAACGACTAGATATAAGTTTTTGCTACAAGTCTATAAAGTGTGAAGGATTCAGTCTTATGTAAAGAAATGCCCCTCCCCTATTTTTTTGGTAGAAAACTAAGTGTTAACATTATAAGGCAGCTTTTTTTGATATTTAAAACTGAGAAAATTGAATCAACACTTCACTAGGGTGGACAAGGTCTAGGGATTGGAATTTAGATCTAGTTCATTTGGGTGGTTTATGTGCAGGGTCCTTGACACTGCTGCAGGCAGCAGTGAGTCAATGGCTAAAGCCCCGTGAAGCTGCTGCCTTTTGGGTAGAGTGACAGGAGCTCTGTCACTTTTCCCATTCACTGCTTTGGGCTTCTTTATTGAATGGTGGTCCCAGAGCATCATTGCCTTACTGGGCAGCAGGCTTTTCCTAGAGTAAACACTGCTTTGCATCTGTCAGAGCTAGCCACTAAGGCAACCCAGATTCAAGGGCTGTGGGGATGGCCCCCCAGCTCTCAGTACAAAGAGAATAAAGGGATTCCATCAAACTTCATCTGCCACAGTAACTCATACAACATACTGCATTTTAAATGAAATAAGGAGAATTATGCACCGTTTCATATCCTCTGCTTGATTCATTCATGCTTTTCAGACCATATGTGCACACTACAGGTCTTCAGAACATTACTACTTTTCTTAGTTTCTTAGGAAGCTTCTGTAGTTGTTTATATTTTGATTTTTATCCCCAACTGTCTTTCAAGAGTAGATGCCATTGCTGTGGGCCAACACATAAGTACCTCTTCCTCGGAAATACTCAGCTGCAAATCTCAACTAAAAGTCAATTCCTGAGAGATCTAGAAGATGTTAAATGTATTTGTTTGGTTTCCTCTCTAAATTTTCATTAGTTCTCTGCTCTGCTTCTTCTAGACACTGAAAGGCCAGTATGTGCTTTCTTAGCTCTGTAAGGATTCTTAGATGTCTATTTTGTCCCTTCCTTCCTTCCTTCCTTCCTTCCTTCCTTCCTTCCTTCCTTCCTTCCTTC